TTACCTTTGGACGTTTAGACATGTTTATTTTGTGGTGAAACTGGTATTAATGTGGAGGAGATGATCAGTTCACGTCTGTTGAACTGAGGCGCTACAGCGATCTGTCACTCCACATTAAACGGCGCCAAAACTGCATTTATTGTTTGAATACTGCAATACAATGGACATAAATTGAAATCTGAGACTTTGTTTCATATTAAAAGTACCAACAATGCTTATTGCGATTTATTGGATGGGAGGTGCGCTTCAATGTTCCATCCATTATCTGAAAACAGGCTAGACTAATCGATTCTTGGGATTTAGGGAATCGATATTGTTTCGTAAAAATGAGAATCGATTAAAATCGAGATATCTATATTTTGAAAAAACAAATTAATTGAATTTACTACATTTTTTTTAAGGTAAGTGGTTGCAATCAATTTGTTTTAGCTACATTTAAATAAACAAATTTAGTTGACTAACTTTTAACATTTGTTTTTAAATGTAGCTGAAATAAATTGTTTGCAACCACTTACCTTAAATTTAGTATCATTTTTTTTCCAGTGTAGTTCAAATTTGGTAGGTCATATTTCCCAACACTATCGCGAATACATAGGCTAATAAACGTTTTATTATAAATGTTAACTTTAAATGATTTTAAATAAATATCATGTGAAATGTGCCACATATTGTGTATATTGACATTATATGTCCTGCTAGCTCCTCTGCTGTTGAGATTTTGTCATCCGTATGAGCCAGTAATTTTCATGTTCAAGTTTATTTGTACAGCACTTTTCACGATACAAATCATTGCAAAGCAACTTTACAGCAAATTAAGTTTCTACAATATTTAGTGGTAGCTTATCAGTGGTGACTGTCAGTCAATGTACGTATGGCAGAAATGTACGGAAAAATCAATTAAAGACGTAATCAAACAGACGATGAACACTATTAACAGCAATTATTATATGATGCAATCAAACTTATAGCAAAATGTGGTAGTTCTGTATGTTGTTTCAGGGTTGGCATCATCTGAGGTCCTATGATTTTTAGAATTTTCCTCACATCTGTTGATCTTTTTCATAAGCAGTAAGTCTTCTCACAGACTTTCTGAAATGAGCTTAAGGCACAACATTTACTTGCTATTGTCAGTGATCCATTTATGAAATTAGGCCATGGTTCCCTGTAAAATAATCCACTGCTTCTGTCAGTTCAGTCTTGCTGCCCTGGATATGTGCCATGAGCTGTAACAGTGGGCCTTTTCACATTTCATGCAAGTGCTTCCAAATCCATTTCATAGTCTGATAATTTCATGCAACATTTTGGCTCTAAACATTCTGAAGAATAAGGAGAATATGCTAGAACTAAACAAGGGTGTCTGGGCGAGTGCAGCCTTGTTTAGTTGTGTAGGAGTGTTTAGAGGAAGTCCTGATGAGGTGAGGCGGTCGTGTGCTCGGGGGTCTAATTAGAGCAGCGTGCCTGAACCTGACAGCAGGAATGTGCTTTATGTCATAGGTGAAGTCACATTCCATACTGGGCTTCATTTTGGAAAGAGAACGTGTAGTCTACAGATGTTCACAGACAGAAGTGTGATATTTTCAGTGCATTTGTTGTTAAATATAAATGTGTTCCTTAATTTTTAGCAAACAGTTGTGCTGCTTAATACATATGATATTACTTGATACAACCATTGAAAATTTTGGGGTAAGATAAAAAAAAATAAAAAAAACTTTTTATTTGACAAGGATGCATTAAAGCTAAAACATTTAATGTGTTATAAAAGATTTCTATATCAAATAAATGCTGTCCTTTTGAATGTCCTACTCCTATTCATTTAAGAATCCCCAAAAAATCCACAAAATATTAAGCACCAAAAACTCTTTTCAACATTGATCATAATAACACTCATTATTAATAATTGAGGACCACCAAATCAGCATAATAGAATGGTTTCTTCTGAAAGATCGATCTTATGACACTGAAGTCATGAAAATTCATCACATGAATAAATTACATTTTTAAAATTTTTAAATAGAAAACAGTTCTTTTAAATTGTAATAATGTTTCACAATATTGACTAAATGCAAGAGACTTTTTTTTACAAGAGAATTCTTGTTTAAACATTAAAGAAATCTTATTTATTCCAAACCTTTGACAGATTGTATATATAATCTATATTTGCTATCATCAGACTAATAAATTAATATATCAATGATATAATTGTTCTCAAAAACTGACATGTAGTACTATTTCAAAATATCCTGAAAGAAATGTTTTATGGGTCGTATTTGTGATGTTTGTGTTCATCATCAAAAATATGTACTTATCCTTCAGTATTGTTGGTAAAGCAGTTATATTAATTTTTAGTACAAAAATGTTTAATCTATGAAGTTGTAAAACTCAATCTTTTATGTGGTAATTGTGCCACAGCTGCTGTCCATAGAGCTTAACTTATATTAAACCCGGGACATTCCTTGAGTGAGGTGTTGACTTATGGCTAGGTCAGGTTTGAGGCCAGTAGCACATAGCCGAGGTGTTTTCCAGTGTCCTCATGATTGCCTCTTCAGGTCTTCTATGTGTGGCATTTCACTCTCCATCTCAGAATGTGCCACCTTTGAGTGCCTGGGTTTATATTAACCTGCTGCTTTCTTTACCGTACTGCCATTTTAAGAGGACCAGGAGACTCTTTCTGCTGCTTACAGTATATCTTCTCTGGCTTACTAAAACCTGACAAAAGCCTAACATCATCTTCCTCTTACAGGGCCACCGAAGAGGCTGTTTTCTTGGGCAAAGCACCACTAATTTCTAACATTCTCCTTTGTTTGTGGTAAGTTCCTCATTTTAAGCTTGTTTCTCTCTGGTTTTGCAAATGTTACTCTGCATTTCCGTATATCTATCTATGCCATGTGTGAATCTCTTTTAGTGGTCGACCAGTATGGGTTTTTCTTATGTTGATGTCTAGATGCCGGAATAATATAATGCCAAACAAGGAAAACATTGCTGAAATGAAAGCTTATTTTAAACAAAATTTATGAAAAAAGTATATATTGACACGTCTGTTGGTAGATTTACATAATAGTGAAATGTCCCTTCATTGACCAGAGTGGGCAGCGTTACTGTATATTCCAGTGCGGTAATCTCAGAATGGCCAAATATTGTGCGATTAATCAGCGTGGCTGAAATATAGGTCACTGATCTGTTTACAATTTGAGATCATTTGGATTGCATGATTTCCCTCATGAGAATAATCTGGCCTTGCTGTTTGTACTGTCTTCCTGGCATTTAGTTTCCTCTAACCATGTTGTTTGCCAGTTGCAAAGGAGTCAGATCTTGTTGGAAAGAATGCCCTTGTTGGAAAAAGTATGCTTGGATTAATGGGCATTTCTGGAGTTGAAATATTGTAGACGCTCTGTAGACTTGTATACATTAATCAGATTAATGACTGCGAGTTTCCAGCAAGGATTATGAGAGCTTCAACCCCTCCTTCCCATGGCCTCATTCTGCTCAGACGGAAGCCATTGTTTTCATGGGTCTGTGGTAACAGGTTATCCAGTATTTGTCATTTATTTGCTGACTTGGCCCACGCGTCAAAGGTTTCTTCTTCTTGTGTATCACTGGGGCTGACATGCATTTACGCTGTTTGCGAAGGTGTGCATGTCAGAGAGATCTGTGTGTGAGAGTCATACAAACAAATGCCGCAAGTTATATTTTTAAAGCCACATCTAACAACTAGAGTAAATGCCCCTCTATTCGGTTCCAAATATTCTGACATGTACTGCACAACTTTTGTTAAAGGACGTTGGCACATTGGCCAGATTTGTTTCCAATGTCGCCTTATCGGTGTAGTTTACCCCAAAACGAACACTTTTACTCACCTTAGTTTTGCTTCAGATCTGTTTGATTGTCTTTTTTTACACGTAAAACGGAGATGTTTTGCGGAATAGTTATGTTGCTCTCTTTCCACACAATGAAAAAGTTAATGGGGACGGATACGGCCAGATTTGTTTCCAATGTCGCCTTATCGGTGTAGTTTACCCCAAAACGAACACTTTTACTCACCTTAGTTTTGCTTCAGATCTGTTTGATTGTCTTTTTTTACACGTAAAACGGAGATGTTAGTTATGTTAGTTATGTTGCTCTCTTTCCACACAATGAAAAAGTTAATGGGGACGGATACTGTCAAGCAAAAAAAAAAAAAAAAGAAGAAGAAAAAAGCACCCTAAAAGTAGTTTGTGCAATATTTCATATCTCCTGGAGCTTTGGTGCAGTCACCCACAGAAATTATTACTTTAAATGGTTAACCCTTGGTCATTTTAAACCTTAGTTAAACGGAATCCTGGGTTATCTTGCTTCGCATTTCACACTGCTCATAATTTACACTGGGTTTACTATTAATCCTGGGTATTCATATGCTGATGTTTCACACTATACTAAAGCTAGGCGATATGGCAAAAAAATAAAATCTTGAATTTTTTTTGACCGAATCTCGATTTTTACGATTTTAAACTAGTCAACTTGAAGATGTAACTACAACATGATTCAAGTAACGTTTTCTTTATTAACCCTCTAGTTAAAGAAAATTCTATTCCAAGTGCACCACACTTGAAGTTGTCAACATGATGTAAATGTTAAACAAATCACTTGTCAAATATCGTTGCAGAAAAGTTGCATGAACTACAACTAATTGTAGCCTACAAACTTGTCTTATACATAGTATATGTTCAGAAATAATACAAGGAAAATGCTTAAAAAAATTCTCAAAAGTCAAGGTAATTCAAATTCAAAATGACTGCAGGTAGTCCAGTAGACTACACTGTAAAAAAGAAAAAAAAAAAAAAAAGTTAAATGACTGGCAGCTACAGCTGCCAAACAAAAACCGTAAAATTAAAGTAAAATATCTTAATTGAAATAAAGTGCAAAAACATTAATTTTACAGAAATTTTCATTAAAGGTTTTACAGGGGAAAAAAAATATTTTACAGATTTTTCCTTGTTTCAATTATGATATTTTACTTTAATTTTACGTTTTTTGTTTTGCAGCCGTAGCTGCCAGTCATTTGACCGTTTTTTTTACAGGACTTTTTTTACAGTGTAAAACCCTTATTTTACAAATTTTTCCTAGATTATTACAATGAAAGCACTAAATGCTCTACAGAGAAACACTGCTATTTTACAAATCATTACGATCAAAAACCTTCAATAAAGTGTCAAAGCATGCTCAAGATGGAAAATTAACTGTTTTATTTGGAAGACAAAAGTCTGTACAAATGCCATATAAAATTAAAATTTTACATTTCAGTTTTTTTTATACAGCACAATTACATTTAAAATACAGTACTGATGAAGAACATAGAACAGTTTCATCAAAATGCTGAATTAAATATATTCAACTTAAAGGACAAGTTCACTTCCCGAATGAATATTTCCTTATGTACTCACCCCATGTAATCCAAGATGTTAATGTCTTTCTTTACTCAGTCAAAAAAAAATTAAAGTTTTTGAGGAAAACATTCCAGGATTTTTCTCCATATAGTGGACTTCAATGCGACCCAACGGGTTGAAGGTCCAAATTTCAGTTTCAATGCAGCTTTCAAAGGGCTTTACAAGTTCCAAGCGACCCTTATTCCTCGGCTGGGATCATGTAAAGCCCTTTGAAGCAGCATTGAAACTGAAATATGGACCTTCAACCCGTTGGGTCCCATTGAAGTCCACTATATGGAGAAAAATCCTGGAATGTTATCCTCAAAAACCTTAATTTTTTTTTTCGACAGAAAAAAGAAAGACATATCTACAAGATTGTCAAGATTGATTCTAAAAGAGTTTTATTATTCATAATAAATTATATATTTTAATAATTCAGATGTAAATTTACATTATCATTCTTCATAAACCGTTCTTCAGAGTCCCCAGGAGGAATTCAATAACTAAAAATTGCATTTCTATCTTATCAGGTAGGGTTACTCTCATGATGAGGTCAATTTGACCTTTGAGATGGGTGGAGAAAGAAACAATTTGTGCTGTTTGCTGATAGCTTTGTATATATTTTCCACATAAGTTTTATATTAATCCACTAGGGCTGGGTTTTGACACAAATTTCACGATTCGATTCGATTCTCATTCACAAGCTTGCAATTCGATTCGAATACCGATTCAATATCGATTATTTTGGATCTATATCAGGTACAGTACATGCCAAGTTTTCTCAAGGAAAAAATCTATTTATTAACTAATGTTGTAAAATATACATGAGAGTCAGTTGGTACTACTATAATATTGAAGGTTAAAATTGACTGATTTGTTAAAATTACACTTAATGAAGTTTTTAAAATAATAAAGTTACAATTACATAATAATATTTCTACTTCAATTCGTTTTTTTTAAATATAAACATAATGGTAGCTATCATAAAAACTTGATAATTAAATTAAACATTGAAGAACTGTAAAATTTATAATGAATATGTTATATTATATCTGACTAATGAGTTTATGGTCACCGAATATGTTTTTCTGAGGTAAATGTGACGTTACGTGACATTGTTTACAAGCCGTTATATTGACGTCTTTGCGCAGCTGAAACACTGATTGAGCGATCACATGAGACAGGATACGGATTGTAAAGTTGTGCTCTTTCTTTTAACTTTCGGATGTTTAGTCATGTTAATTCTGTGCTGAAACTGGTATTAATGTGGAGGAGATGATCAGTTCACGTCTGTTGAACTGAGGCGCTACAGCGATCTGTCACTCCACAATAAATAGCACCAAAACGGCATTTATTGTTTGAATACTGCAATACAATGGACAGAATTTGAAATCTGAGACTTTGTTTCATATTAAAAGTACCAAAGCACAATGCTTGTTGCGATATATTAGATGGGAGGTGCCCTTCAGCGTTCCGTCCATTAACTGAAAACAGGCTAGACTAATCAATTCTTGGGATTTAAGAATCGGTATCGTTCCGTAAAAATTATAATCGATTAATATCGAGATATCTATATTTTTTACCCAACCCTATAATCCACAATATTCTACTGACTCCTGTGGTCTCCATATACAGTGATGTCCAAAATGATTAGAACACTGTATTTTCAACAGCTAAAAAATGGATTTAAGTCAGTTATTTCTATCTTTTGCTGTAGTGTGTCAGTAGGAAATTATCGGTTTACATTTCCAAACATTCATTTTGCCATTAATTGTAATAATCCAGTGAGAATTTTGTCTGACAGCAGCCAGTGCTCCACACAGAGATCTGATCTGATCATCATCCAGTCTGTCTGGAATGACATGAAGAAACAAAACAAACTGAGACAGACTAAATTCAGAAGAACTTTGGGAATGTCTCCAAAATGCTTCAAGAAACCTACCTGCAAAGCTACCTGAAAAACTATGAGTATTTCCTACTGACACATTACAGCAAAAGATAGAAATAACTGACTTAAAACCATTTTTAGCTGCTGAAAATGTTCTAATCATTTTGGGCACCACTGTAGCTAGCTCTGATAATATATGTAGACAAACATATGTATTTTAATTCTGAATTCTAGCTATATTAGTGTAATAATAAGTAAAACCAAAACATACAACAAAAGGTCCATGACTCTGCTCCAGAAGTGACAGACACAGCCGATAAAGAGCAGTCCTCCTCCAAATTGCCAGTAATCAGCTGGAGGTAAAAAAAATAAAAAATAAAAAGATTGTGAGAAGGCACCTTGTTTTTTTTATCTGGGATTAAAACAAATTAAAAACATGGAAGAAAAATACTGTGAATATTCCTTTAAAAATAAATTAATGTTAGTATGTCTTAATGTTAGACATGAATACTCACTTCCTCTGAAGAGCATGTCATAGAAGATTTTCATTCCCAAAACTTCTGGATCATGAGGGGGAAGCACACACACAAACAACTTAATGTCAATTTGTTTAATAAAACACTATCTACTTACTGACAGAGACATGGGCTTGCAAAAATGTACTCACCAGCTCCAAACAAAATCTTCACAGTTGATCCAAAATCCTAGTTTACATACAGTATTCTTCTCCAAGGAATCCAAGGATGCCTTCAGGTTCTCTCTGTCAAATGAGTTTACATGATAGTGTTCTCAGATTACTCATTTCAAAGTTCCTTCACTTTTTGAGTTTGAGCTTACAACTATTATTAACTATAAATGTTCTGTAAAAACAATGAACAGCAGCCTTTAGCCTGTCACCATGATACAAACATGAAATATCAGACATACCTTTTCCTATGTAAACACGCGTTTGACTGTTGCGCTCGCGTCTCTTGCAACGTCTCATGCATGAAATGGCATTCTAAAAACGCGGCACTCAAGTTAAAAGAAGTTCAACTCCCATCTTCTTGCATTTTTGCCCGGGTCGCATTTTTGTCAACACAAAAGCGCATTCTGTGTGAATGGCATCTAGCAATATATTCTACTTGCGGTCCTTCACAGAGCGCGTCACACGTGAGCGGTTAATCATGTGCGCCGACATGCGGTTAGATCATTATTTTCTCTTTACTGTAATCATTGGCATATTTTCATATTGTATAATTCAAATTTTTGGTAATATTTCTATTAAAAATCATGATTCCTCGATTTATAAAAAATAAAATTGTGGCAAAACATTCAATTCAAATTAATCTATAAAATCGGAAAAATCACCCAGACCTACACTGTACATTCCTAAACATCGGGTTAACATTCTTATTTGTGTATGTGCAGTATTGTGTAATTGATTTGATGAACGCAGCACTACTGTAGAGATGCTAGAGATGCACTGGTCGACAGGCCATAAATCGGAACCGGACATTCTCTGTTGTGGACTTGCACACATATTGCATTTCAATTAGGGCTGCACGATTAATTGAATGTGATTGCCATGCGCATTTTGTCAGTAAAGCTGGTTCTGTAATAGGGCTGAACGATTAATTGCATTTGCGATAATATCACGATATGAAAAAATTAGATTTTTCAATTGCAGAGACTGCGATTACACTCGGTGTATGACATCAAAGTACGGTGAGAGAAAGCATAAGGAGACGTCTGCTCTCTCTTATAGCTCTCGCAGTACTTTGATGACACACACCGATCGGTCTAAGCAGCGCTGCTTCAAGTCGAGCGCGTGCCATCAGCAGAAAAAGAAAAGAAATAAAACCGTAAACAGCCAAAGGACGTAACTTAGAATGGGAGATGGATCGGTTTGTGAAAGGGAAGAGAAAAGCCATAGATGAAGTCGCACAGACCCAGGCAGGTGCTGGTCATTTAAAAGCTAAATGCAGAAAATATGACGAGGCATATCTTGCTCTCGGATTCACTCACCGTGTCTATACCGGACGCTACAGTTGTCGCGCCGCGCCGCAACAGCTCTACACTGGACGCAGCAAAGCAAC